TATATGGTAGAAATTCAACTTTTTTTCTGTTGGTGTACATTTTGGTTATTTCTACTCTTTTTGCTATTACAAAGAGTTCTGAAACAAATAGCCTTGTGTGTACGTCTTTTTCTCAAGGAAGGTTTTGAGCATAGTAATGACCTGATTGGATTTGCATCTTTAAAGTTTTATTTATGGGAGCATGGGTGTGGCTCAGTGGGTTAAGCCTCTGCCTTCTGCTCAGGTCATGATCTCAGGGTCCTGGGATTGAGTCCCGCATCCGGTTCTCTGCTTGGCAGGGAGCCTGCTTCCTCCTCTCTCTCTGCCTGCCTCTCTGCCTACTTGTGATCTCTCTCTGTCAAATAAATAAATAAAATATTTAAAATTAAAAATAAATAAATAAATAAAATTTTATGTATTTGTTTTAGAGAGAGAGAGATCGTGTGTGAGAGAGTGCAAGCCGGGGAGGGAGAAGGACAGACAGACCCTAGGCTGAGCGTGGAGCCAGATGAGGGGCTCCATGCAGGGCTCAGTCTCAGGACCCTGAGGTCACGACCTGAGCCGAAATCAAGAATTGGAAGCCCAGCCAACTGAGCCACCCAGGTGCCCCATTGGATTTGCATTTTAGAAAGAGTCTTCTGGTGAGTAGGAGGCAGTGTGAGCTGACTGAGAGGCTTGGAGGAAGTCCAAGGTCAGGACCTACCTCAGAGCTAGGCTTTCAGGGTACAGAGAAGGACAGATCAATGACTTATTTTGGCACCGGAACTCACAGGGCTGTGTCCTCCCTGTGGGGTGAGTGGGAGTGACGTGGCGGTGTTCCTCATGTGGGAGGCGGAGGAGAGATGATGGGACCCTGGGGGCAGCTGGAGTGGTGGGGGTGCCTGCCTACCTTCGTGGAGCAGGTGAAATGGTTCGTGCCCAGCCCCATGGAGAAATGACAATTATGGGATCCTGCGAGTCCCCCTCCCTACTCTTGTCTTCCCTCTTGTCTTGCCCAGGGTTTCACGCCTGGCATCTGAGAAGCGAGAACTGGAGGCCCAGCTGGGCCAGTCGCGCGAGGAGGCTCTGGCCGGGAGGGCAGCGCGCCAGGAGGCTGAGGCCCTGCGAGGGCTCGTCCGGGGCCTGGAGCTGGAGCTGCGGCAAGAGCGGGGCCTCGGACACCGCGGGGTCGGCCGCCGCAGCCAGGATTGCCGGCGCCTGGCCAAGGAGGTGAGGGGGTGTGGCGGGCGGCAGGGGGGACCGGTGGCGTTTGGACCTTGGCTTCAGTGTGGTTCTCTACGCCCCTGTTCACTCCTGGCAGCTCGAGGAGGTGAAGGCTTCGGAGCGGAGCCTGCGCGCCCGGCTTAGGACGGTGAACACCGAGCTGGCTGTGTACAAGAGGGGGTGAGAGAGGAGGTCTGGAGGGGCGGGGCCAGGGACTGGATGGGTGGGGCCTGGGGAGCAGGCGTGGAGTCTGGGGGGGGGGGGGGGGGGCCCAGGCCATAGGGTCGGGGCCTGAGTGAAACGAAGGCTTAGAGTAGGGGGGGATAGAGGGTTGGAAGGAATCTGATAGACTGCATGCGGCGGAAAGTTGGATACGGCAGGACGAGTCTGTGAAGAGATGGACAGGGCTTGAAGGGTCAGTCAGGAGACTGGGGCTGGAGATAAGGGGGGGAGGGGTGGGACCTATGGATCTTGTGGAGCAAAAGGGCGTGGCCCAGCTGGTGGGGATCTGGTTGATGTCCGATGTTATTTATTGGGATGGGTGGTGGAGTATTGGAAAGGATTTCTAGGGAGCTGTGGGAGACCTCAGGAAGAAGGGTCCGGTGAAGGGAGTTTGTTTGGATGTAGGGAAATGACAGGTTCTTTTGGGGGGGGGGTTCTCTGTGGCTCCGAGAGGGGCGGAGCCTGAGATAAGGTATCTGTGAGGGTCTGTGCAAGGGCGTGAATGTCTAGTTGATGGGGATAGACCTGAAGGTTCGGAGATTGTGTGATCCGAGAATAGGCTTGAGATAGGAGTTGACATAGGAGCTGGTGGGTGGGAAACGGACGCTGGGCCCTGTGCCCGCAGGAGACGGACTCCGCCGGTGCCGCCGCCCCGGGCGCGGGAGGATCGGGCTTCATCATCGCGGGAGCGCTCCACATCGCGTGGTCGCGGTGCGACCCGCTCTTCTTCCCGGGAGAGTGGCCGGGGGGCCCGGGGTAGAGGCCGCCCTGCCCGCCCCTCACCCTCGCCCACAGGTCTCTGCCCTGCCCTGCCCTGCCCTGCCCTGCCCTGCCCTGCCCGTGGGAGGGTGGGGGGTGGACTGGCGCTGTGGAGGCGTGGTCCTGTGACCCCATCCTCTTCTCTCCACGCTCTCCCCCCCATCCTAGGTAGTCGCGCGCCACGTTTCGACCCTACAGCCTTTGTGAAAGCCAAAGAGAAGAAGCAGAGAGAGATCAAAATGAAGTTAGCGCCCGTTTCCTCTTTACCTGTCCCTTTACCTGGCCTCCGGGCCTGTGCGCTTGTCCATCCCCGTCTCCCATCTGTCGCCATCATCTGTCACCCGCTCCATCTCTCCCCTTCCCTTTACCTGCTCCTGCTTTCCACCAGACCTCCGCCTCCTCTCCTGACCCCCGCCGCCACTTCTGTGTGTCCGCATGCCTTTTCCTTCCCTTTCCTGTGTGACGTCCGCTGGGATAACTGGCCCTGGCTGTGACCCAGAGAGGGTCCCAGCGACGCCATTCCTAGCATCAGTTGGGCACACAAGGTGGTGTCTCCTCCTCCGCTCCCTAGGCAGCAGCAGCAGCGGAACCGACTGGGCAGCGGAGGAAGCGGGGACGGTCCGTCCCTCTCCTGGTCTCGCCAGACTCGGCTCCCCGCTGCCGTGAGCGGCCGAGGGGACGCAGCTCACCGCTCTCGAAACCGCAGCTCCTCGGGTAACTGGGCTGCAGTGCGCTGGGCGGGCCGGCGGGCTGGGCGCCCCAGGCGGGCAAGCGTGGGAGGCTCACTCTCCGCTCCCCGCTCTAGTGGACAGTTTCCGCAGCCGCTGCTCGTCCGCCAGCTCCTGCAGCGAGTTGGAGGATTTCTCCGAATCCCTTCCTAGAGGGTAAAACTTGGGCCCAGGGAAAGGACCGCTTCTAAACGGAATTTGGGGAGTCTGGAAACAGCCTTTTGCGGGGAGATTGGGTGATGGGGACGGGAGCCTTGAAACCACCCAGGCGGGCAAGGTGGGAGGTGCCCAAGGCTCCTCCTGCTGTTCCTGAATACTCTCTTCCTGTCAAGCGTGCGCCGCCGCGGGAAGCCTTCCGGCCCCACAACCTGGGGTGGGCCCAACATGGTGAGTGTCTTTCCCCAGATCTTGAAGGAGGTGGGGGTAGCAGGAAACCACCAGAAGCCCATCATTCCCATTCTGGGGCAGTCAGGTTGCCCGAGGGATCTTTTGAAATGCGTCTGGAGGCAGAAGTGTTGAGACCATTGGATTGGAGGGGAGTGTGGAGTTGGGGTCGGGGAGATGATACCCGCTGATGGCACCTGGCCTCAAGTGACCAGCTCTTAAAACATGGCCCTGCCTTCCTGTCACCTGTGTGACTTCTGGTAGTTCTTATCATCAGTTTCTTTTCTTTTCTTTTTTTTAAATTTAAGATTTTATATATTTATTTGACAGACACAGATCACAAGTAGGCAGAGAGGCAGGCGGGGGGTGGGGGGAAGCAGGCTCCCCGCTGAGCAGAGAGCCCGATGCGGGGCTTGATCCCAGGACCCTGGGATCATGACCTGAAAAGGCAGAGGCGTTAACCCACTGAGCCACCCAAGTGTCCCTTAGCCTCAGTTTCATAAACTGTTCAAAGGGGATGGTAGTAGTTTTCATCCCAGGGGGCTCCGGTGGAGATACCAGGAGGCGATTTTGAGTCTAGTAAGTGCCCAGTCGGTGTCAGCCCCAGTTCTTCAAGGCCCTTAGGTTCAAAATTTCCAGTGAGATCTGGGGGACGGGAATGGAGGGAGGATACCGAACCCCTCCTTCCCGTCTCCCCCAGCAGCAGAAGTCCACCCCTTTGGAACGCGGCCACCATCAGAGACGCCTGACCAGTTCAGGAGGCTGGGTCCCTATGAAAGGTGAGCCCGGGACTCCACATCTCTCCCTCCCCAGCCTCCTGGGCCCAAGGGAAGCGTGCTGGGCCCTCACAGCCGCTGCACCCACACCCGCTCTCACAGAATACAGCTCCGACCACCAGGCTGCGGACATGGCCGAAATAGACGCGCGCCTGAAGGCCTTGCAGGAATATATGAACCGACTGGACACACGGTCGTGACCCCCACAGGGAGTACAGCCCCTCCATCCCCCACCCCCCGCTGGATTCCGAGTGGGGGCGCCGGTGGGCGTGTCCTTCCAGCCCCGCTCAGGCTCCTCCCCTGCTGGTGCTCACAGGGGGTTTCAGGTGTGTGAAGCCTTGATTTCCGCCCCCACGCACTGCATGCTGGGAGGGAGGGTATGTGCATTTTGTAAATAAACGTATTTGCCTTTGGGATCCTTCAGCTTATGACTGAAGGGTGGGGCTGGAGTGGGGAAGACATGAGGATTGGGTGGTGGCTGTAAATGGGGCCTGGTGTCTTTCTGGGAGGCACTTTGGGTTCAGAGTCAGGAAAAACTTGCTGCCTCTCTAAAGTAACGAAGGGTGGTAGTGAGCAGCTCATCCCCAAAGGGGTCCAAGCAGAGATGTTGCACAGTGTATCTCTGGCTGAGTGCTAGAGGAGGGGTGTCGTGGAGCATGGTTCGCGGTCCCCCGGGACCCCTGAGCTGCCGTCAGTGACGTCTGGTGCTGGTGGTCAGGGCCAACTTGGTGCTGATTCCTGCGCTCTGACCTGAGACCTCTGGGTTCTGAGCTGTGATGTTCCTTCCAAGCTGGGATCTCTGGGGTCTTGGTTCAGGGTCGGGGCCTCTGGGTTCTGAGCACCAGCGAGGACAGAGTGCTGGGCCCTGGGGCGGGTGGGCATGGCTCGGGGTCTTGTGGGAGGTCGAGAGGGAGGGGAGACATGTGGTGGGACGCAGGAACGCAGTTTGAGCTGCACCTTTATTGGAGGGTCGGTGGTGGGGTTTCTGGGTGTGGAGGAGGTAGACAGGGTCTCACTCGTGGTAGTGTGGCCAAGTCCGGACGATCTCATAGAGTTGGTCACCCGGAGAGAGTGTCCGCTGCACATCCCGGTGTCCTTTGACCTCATAGCTGGGGCTCAGCTTTCCCTGAGCCACACCGCAAGCCAGCAGACTCTGGGCCGCCCTGAGGGCCCGGGGTGGAGGTGAACGCTCTGGGGGAGACAGAAGCAGGAGTTAGGCTGGGACTTCCTTGAGGGGCGGAGGTAGTGTGGGGCGGTGGTTCCAGTTGTGCACCCTGCCCCACTAGCCCCGAACGGGCTCTGCCAGTCCCCTAGCAGGAACTTAACCCTGCCGTGCCTCAGTTTCCTCATCGGCGAAAGGAGGGAGTGATGGCATGTGCCCATGGGGCTGTGGGACAAGAAAATGAGGTTTTTTATGTAAAGCCCTCACAGAACAGCGCCTGGTACAGGTTAAACCCTCAGCAAGTATCAAGATGAGAGCTTATCCTCCCTCCTCTGTCCCCAGACCTCTGGGTCCTCCCCATGACGGTGGCTGTGCCTCAGGCTTATATTCTATGAGCCACAGACTGGCCAAAGAACTTTTATACAGATTAACTCGTCCTGGCCCAGACCACGCAGTTGCAAAGAAACGGTCATTCTCCGAAAGAAATGGTGAGGCTTGGAGAAGCCGACTCACTTCCCGAGGTCACAGAGCTTGGAGGTGGCAGAACTTCCCAAGGACCACATACCCCAGATCCCAGGCCGGCCCGCCGTGCCAGCAGCTGGACACTTACCCATATAGTTACCCATGAAGGAGATGCCAATGGAGATAGGGTTCCAGATCTTTCCTGTGTGGTCGCCCTTGGTGTCCCAGCCCCGGCCTTCATACACGAGTCCATCTTCTCCAATCAGGAAGCTGTGTGGGTGGCAGGGGGGTGGACTTGATGAGTAAGGGAGGGCCTCCTCCCCCCCCTCCCCTGCCCCATGCTACTCACACACGATTCCCCCCAACACCTCCCTCTTCTCCTGAAATCCAATGCCTCTGGCCCCTGCCACATGCTAGGCACCACACTACACCCTCACAGCCACCCATGAACCAGTACCGCCCCCATTCTGCAGGTGGAGAATCAGAGAGGTAGGGACATCTGCCTGCAATCACACAGCCAGAGAGGGGAGTCCGGATTCTCATCCGGGTCCCTGAGACACCCACCCAGGTGATTCCTTGCTTCCTCCAGCCCCCCAGGAGGATTTGTTGAACTCTTGATTTGCTGAGTCCTCTCATGCAGTCCTCTGAGGCAGATACCCTGTCAACCCCAAGGTCATGCCCCGTAGACCCCTGCCTCTCAGAACTCTCCTCCGAGAAGCTCTTCCCTTGGCCCAGCCTGCTTCCTCCTTTCTGTTCCCTGCTGGGGTACACTGAGTAACAGGATCTGAGACTCAAGGATTGGCATCAAAACCAGATACAGACCCTGGAGTCCTGGCATCTGGCTCTTGGAAGTTTCCAGTCCTGGCATCAGATCCTCAAGACTCATCTGACGCATCTTGATGGAACGAGTCTGATTTTGGCACATTGGGATTAGCTAGAAGATCAGCATTTTGGAGTTGCGAGATCGCTGCCTCCGACCTCTAGCTCTCACAGTCACCAATGATGTAAAGAACGTTGGACGTTCAGAATCTTTGGGTCCTGAGCCTCCCATGCAGGAAGCCAGGTGCAGAAGAATCTGGCTCCAGAGAGACTAGAAATTCCAGGGTGATGATGGCCCCCAGGACTGGGCTGCTTTTGGCCTTGCCACAGCCTCAGCACCTGGCACGGGCAATTGGGACTCCCTGTGTGTTTGTGAAATGGAAGCGTCTAGTTTAAACCTCCAGCACCACCACCAGCTGGGTCGAGTAGGAGCCCTTTTGCTCAGTAAAGACACTGAGACCCAAAAAATGTGAAGTGACAAGAAGAGAGATCCAGAATGTTGGGATCAGACTCTAAATCCTAAAATCTGAGAAACAGACTTCAGTCTGCTTTTCTGTGAGGCGATTTAGGCCAGAGGCTGGGGAGCCAAGCTTTCACTACCTCATGGAAACACTTAGGATCGGAGCCCCTGAGTCTTGGAGACAAATCCTGGAAGATGGAGCCTTGGGATTGTAAAAGCTTGAGCCGAGTTGCTGTGGATACCCTCGTCGGCTAGAATTACAGTGATGTCAGGTTCCCCCAGCCCTATTGGAAGCCAGGAACCTGGATTTCCAGTACCGTGACTGCTGCTTACCAAGGTCTGAGAACCTGTAGGGTTCAAAGTTATTCGCCGCAGTGCGGGGGGGCGGGGGGGCGGGGGGAGCACGGACCCCAGACGGAGATCTTAGCAGTCTGTTTCTGCAGTCACCCACCTGCAGTCTGTTCTCCCCACAGCCGCCAGAGGGAGCTCTTACACCCAACGGGCTCACGCCCCTCCCATGGCTCCAGTCTTTTTTTTTTTTTTTTTTTTTTTGCTCCAGTCTTTCTTCGGGTGGTCCACAAGGCGCTGCCCACCCGGTCTTCCCTGTTCGTTTCATGTCAATCCTCCCAGCTCCCTCCAGACATCCTGACCTCTGTCCTCCAGGCATGACGCTCTCACTTGTCCTCAGCCTTTACCCCTGCTGGACCTTGCAGCTTACCACTCTTCCTGCTGCCCCCCATCCCAGAGCCACCTCATTCTCCCCCCACAACTCCCCATCCTGCCTTATTGCTTCCATCACCAGCTGAATTCATCTGGTTGCCTTTGCTTGTTTCCCACTTGTTCCTCCCTGTTGGTCTTTAAATCCCATTGGGCCAGATTCGCACTGTTTATGTGTCCCCTGTCCCAGCACCTGGGCAGGGCCTGGCACATAGTAAGTGCCTAAGGGCAAGAGCCCATGAACTTGGGGGTTCGTACTGCATGCCAGGTGGTGTCCTAAGGGCTTTGCACGTATGTATTGGCTGATTTAGTGACCCAGTGGGGGCCACAAGCTGACTTTGCAGAGAAGGGAGAGGAAACTAAAATGGGGAAAGCGTTGGTGACACCCCCCCTCCCCCCCGCCGCCGTCCCCTGTCCTCTGGGATGAACCATCCTGCTTATCTGCCTCCCAGCAGAGGCGGCGGATTTTATGAAATGACTGCAGTGTAGAGGACAGTTTCTTTTGTGTTGGCAAAGGCTTTCCCTCCCACAGGGGGAGCAGAGCGTGGACTTCAGCCCTTTCCCCTCTTAGCACCTGCGTGCAGCGCGCACATATGCAGTCTTATGTGCCCGCCCTGGGGAGAAAGCAAGCCTGCCCATCAGCCAGGGGCAGTCTAGAACCGCCGGCCAGGGCGGGTCCCTCGGGCCTGCACCCCTTTCCCTCCATCCGGCCTGGCTCAGGCCTTTGCCCCTGCTCCGCACTCACTTGTAGCCCACGTCACACCAGTTCAGCATCCCCGCGTGGTAGTTGTGCACATTCTGGACCTGGTTCAGGCACAAGGCCGGGCTGTCGCAGGGGCTGCCGGCCGTGTGCGACACCACCACGTAGCGTGCGGGCAGTTTCAACTTATCCACGCACTTGGATGCCGGGGCCTTCCACTCTCTCCGGGGCACTATGGGGCAGCAGGAGCATGGGAGGTCTTCTCCAGGCACCCCGAGCCCGAGGCCGAAGAGAGCCAGGAGGGCCCAGGTGAGCAGCGCACAGGGGGCGGACATGGCAGGTGAGGCACGCAGGCACGGCTAGGAGCTCGTGGCTGGCCCAGGCCCCCTTTATCTGCTGGGGCCGGGCAGCGGGGAGGGCCTTGCTTCACACCCTGGTGGAACAGGCGGGTCTCTCTACACCCCAGATTCCGCTACCTTCTCTGGCCGCAACAGGATGTCTTGTGGTGAGGTGGGGGAAGTGGGGAGCCCGTGGCAAAGCCAAGGGGCCTGTCTCCTGGCTGAGAGGCAGCGTGGGGAGGGGTGCACAGGCCTCTGGTCACCTTGCCCTGTGGTTTCTGGAAGAGCAAGGGCCTGGCGCCCTGCCCAGCTTTGTTTCCCTTCTGAGCGGGGCTTTGAAAAACTCACCCGGAACATTAACACAGGAGCTGGAGGCCTGTGTGTGCCTTTGTCTTCCTCCTGGAGGGTCCTAGGTAACAAAGGCTCCCTCCCCTCTTTTTTTAAATTGAGGTGCAATTAACATACATGTTAGTTTCAGGTGTACAACATAGTGATTGGACAGTTCTGTACCTTACTCAGTGCTCCCGGTGATAAGTGTGGCCCCCATCTGTCCCCAAACTATGCAATGACAATCTTGACCACATTCCCTAAGCTGTACTTTTCACCCCGTGACTTATTTTATAACTAGAAGTTTGTATCTCTTAATCCCTCTTGTCTGTTTCACCCATATCCCACCCCCCCCAACCTTCTCTTGCCCATTTAATCTCTGTATTTAAGAATCAAAAGCTCCCATTTTATTTTATTTTATTTCAAGATTTTATTTATTTATTTAACAGAGATCACAAGTAGGCAGAGAGGCAGGTGGGACGAGAGGGGAGCAGGTGGGAAGCAGGCTCCCTGAGAGCCTGATGTGGGGCTCGATCCCAGGACCCTGAGATCATGACCCGAGCGAAGGCAGAGGCTTAACCAACTGAGCCACCCAGGTGCCCCCAAAGTTCCCATTTTAAAAAACACTTCTCCTAAGCCCAATCCCGTGGTCATTTAACCCTTGCAGTGAACTGAAGATGTTGAGTGTTGAGAAGCCCATTTTGCAGCTGAGTAAACTGAGGCTGGGAGAGGGGGACATAGGAGGGCTTGGTGTTCCACAGGCTGGATTCAGAACCTGCATTTGAATTCTGGCCACATTTCGGTGTGTGAGCTCCTGCAAGTGAGCTTTCTGTGCCTCCGTTTCCCCCACCTACGAAATGGGGATACTGTAAAGTACCTGACTCAGAAGGTTGATGTGAACTAAGGAAGCAAGTGGGTGGATAAGAGTGGAGCCCTTACAAGAGGTCCGGCTCCTAGTGTCACATAAGGGCCACTGGGACTCAAACTCAAACCTGTCCTTGGTAGTCAGCAGCATGTTTTGCATTGGGTGACGCTGGCAGCTCCATTCTGCCCAGAAGGGACTTTTGAAGTCGAGAGAGGAACAGCCATTTGCCCAGGGCCACTCGGTGGCTTAAGATCACCTGTTGGGGTGTCGTGGGGCCTCTGTCCTGCCCAAGCCCCCTTTCCCACCACTTCTCAGAGAGCTGGTAAGTTCAGGGCTGACTCCCTCCTTTGCTCTTCCTCCTTTCCTTCCACTTTAGTGGATTTAAAAAAAAATTACACAAGTAACCCATGCTGGCTGTAACCAGTCAAACTGATACAAAATGTTAATCCCCTGTGTGCCACTCCCCTCCTGCTCTGTCTGCCAGAGCTCACTTACAGTGTGGTAGGATTTCCTCCATGGTGTTGTCGGTGGTCCGGAGAGCATGCTTACCTCTGTGATCTGGACTGGCCCACCAGGCGTCGCTAAGCATTTTTTTCCACTTCACTTTCTTCCAACGGATCTGGGAGATAGATATTATAATTAACCCCTTTTACAGTCAAGAAAACTGAGGCCCAGAGAGGTTATCACGTATGGGGAGAAGACGGGAATGCTGGGGTTTAGCCACAGGCTTCTAGGACCCCGGAGATGGAGTTCTAGACCATGGTCTGCTTCCTACAAACATATATAAGACCGTGTGTGTGTGTGTGTGTGTGTGTGTGTGTGTGTGTGTGTGTATTTTAGTTTTTAAGTATTTTATTACCTTTTTCAAGATTTTTTTATTTTTAAGGAATCCCTACACCCAACATGGGGCTCGAACCCACACCCCCAAGATCAAGAGCCTCATGTCCTATCGACTGAACCAGCCAGGTGCCCCTATATGTATTTTTTTAAATAACAAAATCAAGGGGTGCCTGGGTGGCTCAGTGGGTTAAGCCTCTGCCTTCGGCTCAGGTCATGATCTCAGGGGCCTGGGATCCAGCCCCGCACTGGGCTCTCTGCTCAGCAAGGAGCCTGCTTCCCCCTCTCTCCCTCTGCCTGCCTCTCTGCCTACTTGTGATCTCTGTCAAATAAATAAATAAAGCCTTAAAAAAAATAACAAAATCAAATCACGCACATCACTTTGCCTTTTGTGACCTATCCCATGTCCCTCTCTCTAGTTGAACACAGCTAATTCTAATGGAATCTTCGTAATAGTCTCATAGTATTTCATGGTATAGGCTTGCCATTTGGAGAGAATCATTGCTTTTTTTTTTTTTTTAAAGCTTTGTTGTTCTTCATTCCACACCCCCCCCATGCACAAAATATTATCAGACATCCAGCCATACATACTGATAACTGATAAAATATAGGCTTTCTAGGTCAACGACTCTACATATTTAATAGTTATTACCCAATGATTTTCCCCTAGAGGCTGTTAACAATTCCCATTTCTACCAGTACAGTATTGGAACCCCCTTGTACCCCAGAGTGGATGTTATCAATTATTAAATTTATGAGTGTAAAGCAATAGAGATCTCTTTTTAACTTTAAATGGTATTTTTATGACCACTCAGGACATTTTGTTCCCTGTGTTTTCTGCCTGCTGGGAATCGTCTTCTGTCGATTGGCTGTCATGTCCATTGTCCATTTTTGAAATACATTGGGCTGCGGGCACCTGGTTGGCTCAGTCAGTAGAACACACGCCTCTAGATCTCAGAGTTGTGAGTTCAAGCCCCACGTTGGGTGTAGAGATGCCTTAAGGAAAAAAATCTTAAAAAAATAAAATAAATTGGGTTGTTCATCTTTTGGTTATCAATTTGCAAATCGAAGGAAAGAATCCCATAACTGGGATTGTTGAGTCGTTGGGTGAGTACGTTTTGCATCTGCGGTCTTTTTGAAAGCATCAAGGAATAACATACATATAGAAAATTGTACTTTTAAAATAGGGTTATTAGAATTAATAGAGTGAAGAACTATGTTAATTTCACGCCACGAATACACCATGTATCCAGCACCCAGATCAGGAAATAGAGCTACATTAAAAATTTTTTTAAAGATTTTATTTATTCATTTATTTGACAGAGATCACAAGTAGGCAGAGAGGCAGGCAGAGAGAGAGAGGGGGAAACAGGCTCCTTGCTGAGTAGAGAGCCCGACTCGGGGCTCAATCCCAGGACCCTGGGATCATGACCTGAGCCGAAGGCAGAGGCTTTAACCCACTGAGAAACCAGGTGCCCCTACATTAAAGTTTTTAATAAATATTGCCAAATATCATCCTAAAAAAGTTTTCTTATTTCTTTTCCCCAGTAATGGGATCAGCTTTAAAACGCTTTACCAATCCAAGGAATGGTGTCTCATTACTGTTTTATTTGCGCTTCTTCAAGCATCAGAGAGGTGGTTATCTATGGCTGTTTGCATCCATTTTCTGCGAACTGTCTGTTCATCTCTTTAAGTCTCTCAGTTTTGCTGTTGGGTCGTTGTATATGGAGAGTATTAACGCTGCCAAATGTGCTGCAAACATTTCCCTCTAGTTTATTACAAAGAAAAATCTGTTTCTTTCTTTTACGGTTGCTGTGTTTCCTGTCCTGCCTTTAGAAGACCTTAACACACCAAGATTGTAAAACTTTTTCTGTTTAAAAAAATATTGTTATCTTGTGTTTTTACTTTTAGACTTTTACCTTAGCAAGAATTTGTAATTGCATACAGTGTGAGGTAGGGGGTTAATTTTGTTTCCAAATGGCTAGCCATTTGGCCTGGCGCTGCTTATTAAATAGCTAGACCTGATTTTAAATTTCAGTCCTGCCACACCTTAGGGGGATTGCCTTGGGCAATTAGGCAGCATTTGACATAGTCGACCACATCCCCTTTTGAAACGTTCACTTTCCTCAGCCTCTGTGGCACAAGACTGTCTTGATTTTCCTTCTGCTTCTCTAGCTGGTCTTTTTCTCTCCCTTTTGGACTCAGTCTTCCTTGACCATCTTACTATACTTGTTCTACTGGGCGATTTCATCCATGCGATGGCTTCAGCTGCCCCTGAAATGCAGCTGACTTCCATACTTTTTATGTCCATTCTGGAGCTTTCAGATGACGTCTGCATCTGTATATCCACCTGCCTACTTGACATCGCTAATTGGATGTCCCACAGGGAACTCAAATGCAAGGTTCCCAGAATGGTTTAGGATGTGCTCCTCCGTAATCAGCCCTCTTCCAAGAGTCCCCGTCTAAAGGAATGCTGTGATGGTCTTCCAGTTACAAAAGCCATGCATGAGCTTACCATCCTTGACCAACCTCTACTCTGTCTCCTCTTGTTTCCAGCAGCCCCCCAGTACAACAGCCGGCACATAGCAGGTGTTCAATAAATCCTGAATGACTGATAAATATCCAGTCACCCCCAGGTCATGTTGCTGTTATCTCCTAAATGTCCTATGAATTAGGCTGGTCCTGGCTACTGCCCTTCTCCCCACCTTGGTCCAGTCACCATAGTCTTGCCCCTGGATTTTGCTCCCACCTCCTCGGTGACTTCCCAGCATGCACCTTGGCTCCCGTGAGACCACAGCTCTGAATCTGATCAGGTCACTCTCAAAAGTGAGTCACAGTTTTCTGTGGCTTCTCATGACCTTAGGATGAATCCCAAGCACCTCACCATGACCTGACATCAGCCTAACCTCCCTTGGCTCACTCCGGAGACATCAAGCTTCCCTGCTCTTCTTGCTGCCTTTAAGGATACTTTGATACCCTGTCCCCAGGGGACTTTCTTCACACTGTGTACAAGTTTTAAATAGAGGAACCTTAAAAAATTCGGGAACTTTGTACCTTACCTTTAAGATGACAAAACATTCAGCTTGCGTTTTGTAACAAGACAGGGATATTTGCACATCAGACTGCTTGCCGGTACTATGAACAGCATCGTTAGCCAGGTGGTGTGAAGTCTTCCCTTGTTAGAATTTTATTTATTCTGTCTCTTGTCAGCCTAAAATTGAGACATACCCTTGTAAGCATTTGCAAGAGTTTCAATGGGTAATTGTTGTATTATCTTTAATCCTGACACTGTATTACTGGTGTATTTTTCTAAATAGGGAATTAGATCTACTCCCTGTATGTTTTAGGAAGTTGGATTTTTTTCAATATTTAATTCATCAACTACTTTTCTTTGATCTTGTTATAATTAAGTCAGCCATTATAAAAACTCCTCAGATTCTCTTGCAGTTAGCAAAAAACACTGGTTTTCTTTGTCGTCTCAACAATGAGAGAAAGTCAAACTAAATGCTGATTGTAGCAAAAACAAAGTTAAAACACAATGCAGAATCTTCTTTTTTTTCCTTGACATTCCCAAGCCTGGAATGTTTACCCCCCTCACTTGTCCCATCCTGTCACTCTTCTTTCCGTGTCACCTCCTGAG